TTAGTTTTCATCCGTTTTTTATCCATTTTTTTTATCAGTTTACATCCGTTTTTCATCCATTCATTTAATGTTAAAGGGTAATGCTGATGGGCACATATAATGCTAAGGGTACTCTGATAGGCATATTTTATGTTACGAGGCACTCTGATGGTCACACTTTATGTTACGGGGCACTTTGATGGGCACATATAATGCTAAGGGGCACTCTGATAGGCATACTTTATGTTAAGGGGCACTCTGATGGGCACATATTATGCTAAAGGGCACTCTGATCGGCACATTTTATGCTAAGGGGTACTCTGATGGGCACAACATAAAATGTGCCCATCATAATACCCCTTAGCATAATATGTGCCCATCAGAGTACCCCTTAGCATAAAATGTGCCAATCAGAGTGCCCTTTAGCATAATATGTGCCCATCAGAGTGCCCCTTAACATAAAATGTGACCATCAGAGTGCCCCTTAGCATAATATGTGCCCATCAGAGTGCCCCTTAACATAAAGTGTGACCATCAGAGTGCCCCTTAGCATAATATGTGCCCATCAGAGTGCCCCTTAATATAAATGTGCCCATCAGCGTGCCACTTATTTTATTTTAAGGGGCACTCTGATGGGCACATTTTATGTTAAGGGGGCACATACTGTAGAAAGGGGCACTCTGATGGGCACATGTGATGGATAGGGGCACTCTGATGGGGAATATGATGTAAAGGGGTTACTTTTTTTATTTATTTTTAAAAATAGATCAGCGATCAGCGACTTATTGCAGGACTGCGGCGGGCATTCTGACACTGGAGGGGGGAACTGACTAACTGTCACTGACATACCCAGTGACACTAATACAGTGATCAGTGCTAATAAAAAGCACTGACACTATACTAATGGGCAGGAAGGGGTTAACATCTGGGCCATCAAAGGGTAAACTGTGTGCTGTGTTCAAGCCCCCATCACAGCAGGTGCAACTTGGCATGTGATTTGCATACCATGCGACTTGCAAATCGTATTCCAAGTCGCACCCTATTGTCCGCTATTAGACCGGTCACCAATTTCGAAAGTAGTACATGCACTACTTTTGGTGCGATTTGCATAGACATCTGTGTCAGATGTCTTGCAAATCGCAATGAAATTGGCATGTCACCCGATTTTTGAAATCCTGTAAGTCGCACGATTTAAAAATCGGCTTTGATGTGACCGGGGGGTTTACTGTGTAAGCACGCTGCTTTGCATTGCTCTGCTATGCTATGGAGCTGACAGGGGAGAGATCTGTATTGTTTACATACAAACCTCTCCCCCATCAGTGGTCCTTGGCCACTGCCAGGCAGGGCTGCTGTTAGAAACCATGGGGCCCCATACATCCAACCTGACAGGGCCCCCTTCTAAAAAGTTTACTATGTCTCAGTTATGAATGAACACAGTAAGTGATCAGTACTGATCACCCATTGTGTTCATTCAGAAAAAGGAAGGGGCTGGTAAATGTCATATTTCCCCCATTCTCCATCCTGAAGGATCCTATTGTGTGCTTGCAGCTGCCAATAGAAAAGAGAGGAGGGAAGCTGGCAGCACTGGAGGGGTGGGGGCACACAGGGGGGGCCTGGGCAGCAGGGGGAAATGGTGCTCAGACAGGGTGATGGCTTCAGCAGTGGGGGGCAATTACTGGAACTGATCTCCTTTATGACTCCCTCTGCAACAGCTTAAAGTCGGCGAAAGGGAGAGGAGAAGCAGCTAGCTTCCAGCTGCTGCAGAGAGCCATACAGGGGATCAGTTCCAGTAATCCCCCTCCCCCCCTTCTGTCATGCCGATCACCCTCCCTGCCCACATCCGATTCCCCCAGCTGTCTGGGCCCCCCCACGCTGGCCTGGGCCCCGTACAGGAGGACTGGTGGTACCCCCTTATTCACAGCCCTGTTGCTGGGTGCCGGTGTGGAATCTCCGGCCGGGACCTGGTGATCTCCAGCGCCCCCTATCCAAAAATACAAAATCATGTATACTGTAAATACGTGATTTTGCGCAGCCCTGCCACCCTGTAGCAGTAGTTCTGCTATAGGGCGATCAGGAAGAGGTTAACAACCCCCTTGTTTACAATATGAGTCTAAAACAAAAAGCGAAAAATTGTTCGTGTGATTTTTTTCATCATGTGTACTAGGCATTAGAACCTTCTTTTCTTAAGAATTTTTGTTTGAAATTCTTCCCATCTATGGCCAGCTTTAGGCCTAGTACACACGATCGGAAAATCGTACGAAAAAATAACGCTTTTGTACCATAATTTGTTTGTTAGTAGCATAGCTTTCATTGGAAATTTCTTGAGGGGACAAGCACCAAAATTTTTCAAGGGGACAAGCACCAAAATTTTTCGAGGGGACAAGCATGAACTTTTTTCGAGGGGACAAGCACGAAAATATTTCGAGGAGACAAATACAAAAATTTTTCGAGGGGACAAGCACAAAAATTGTTCGAGGGGACAAGCACAAACATTTTTCGAGGGGACAAGCACAAACATTTTTCGAGGGGACAAGCTCGAAAGTTTTTCGAGGGGACAAGCACGAAAGTTTTTCGAGGGGACAAGCATGAAAGTTTTTCGAGGGGACAAGCACAAACATTTTTCGAGGGGACAAGCACAAAAGTTTTTCGAGGGGACAAGCACGAACGTTTTTCGAGGGGACAAGCACAAAAGTTTTTCGAGGGGACAAGCACGAACGTTTTTCAAAGGGACAAGCACGAAAGTTTTTCGAGGGGACAAGCACGAACGTTTTTCCAGGGGACAAGCACGAAAATATTTCCAGGGGACAAGCACAAACGTTTTTCGAGGGGACAAGCACAAAAGTTTTTTGAGGGGACAAGCACAAAAGTTTTTCGAGGGGACAAGCACAAAAGTTTTTCGAGGGGACAAGCACAAAAATATTTCCAGGGGACAAATACAAAAATTTTTCGAGGGGACAAGCACAAAAATTGTTCGAGGGGACAAGCACAAACATTTTTCGAGGGGACAAGCACAAAAGTTTTTTGAGGGGACAAGCACAAACATTTTTCGAGGGGACAAGCACAAAAGTTTTTTGAGGGGACAAGCACAAAAATATTTCCAGGGGACAAGCACAAAAATTGTTCGAGGGGACAAGCACAAACATTTTTCGAGGGGACAAGCACAAACATTTTTCGAGGAAACAAGCACGAAAGTTTTTTGAGGGGACAAGCACGAAAGTTTTTCGAGGGGACAAGCACGAAAGTTTTTCGAGGGGAAAAGCACAAACGTTTTTCGAGGGGACAAGCACAAACATTTTTCGAGGGTACAAGCATGAAACATTTTCTCATATGATACCAGATCATACAATTTTCGTTTAATCAGCACACTTTTCAAGTGAAAATAGAACACAAATACACTTTTGAATTTTTATTCCGTATTTTTTGTAACTTCAGTAACCTGTTCACTTTCAATATGGGACTAGCATGCAAAAAAAAAAAAAAAAAAAAGAAGATCATTTGTCTGATATTCTCATCGTGTGTACGGGGCCATAGTCATACCTCACAAAACAAAAGCAAGCTGTCCTGTGAGTTGCTTTGTTTATGATCAGCCTGAGGTGAATGGGGTCACATGACAGCAGGCAGCCTGTGTGTCATGTGACCTAACCCGGAAGTGGAGGTGGATGCGGCTGGAGTGTTGTTTCTCTGGAGGGGGGTGACGTCACCGGCTGTCTGATTTGCCTGAGAGAGAATAGAGAAGAGCTGCAGCTGCTCCCGGGGAGAGAGAGACGGCCTGCAGCCCTGAGAAGGTGAGACACGGCCAGCTCCTGAGCAGGGACAGGGTGGAGGTGCAGGGACTGCAGAGGCCTGGTCATACACAAAGAGCATGCTCACATATCACACACACCTCATAGAGGGACTGCAGGACCGGCACACCGACTGCCACTGATCTGACAACACATTGAGCCCCATCCTAACCCTGAGCTTTACTTTCCACAGCCATCGTCTGCAATGAGAGACACCGAGGAATCCTGAATACACATCCATGCCAAGAAGAGCCCGCCACCCATGATCCCAGTCTCCAGAACCCTGGATTTCAGCCTGCCGGAGGGATCAGAGAGCCAGACCAGCTAGCCATGGGACTCTGGGATCTGGAGTACAAAGGGTGAAAAGCTCCGCCATCACCACTCACTAATTTACAACTCTTGTTTGTCTGAGGACATCGCTGGAGGTGTGGCTTCTATACCAGCAAATCGTGTGAAGGTAAAGGTGACATGTAAACATTATAACATGGCTCTTTGTAGACATGTATGTGACAAATGCTATGCATTCCTCTGCTGCACCTTCCATAGAAAGAACGGAGGTGACTGAATATAAACAAAGTTTGCAAACCACCACAAAGGGTGTCCGCACCCGATACGCTTCCCTTTGTTCATATTACATATTATTACAACTTTTCTTTTTCAATGTTACAAAAATTGGTGTCGGTTGTCATAAACGGTAGCGCGGTTTTTTCCCAACTTTTTTTAACCACTAGCCTATAGGGCACTTATACCCCCTTCCTGCCCAGCCCAATTTTCAGCTTTCAGCGCTGTTGCACATTGAATGACAATTGCGCGGTCATGCAACACTGTACCCATATGACATTTTTATCATTTTTTTGAGACAGAGCTTACTTTTGGTGATATTTAATCACCTCTGGGTTTTTATTTTTTGCTAAACAAACCAAAAACAACTGAAAATTTTGAAAAAAAAAAAAAAGTTATTTTTTAGTTTTTGTTTTAAAATTTTGTAAATAAGTGATTTTTCTCTTTCACTGATGTGCGCTAATGAGGCTGTAGTGATGGGCACTGATAGGTGGCACTGATGACGAGACAATGGTATTTGGCACTGATAGGCATCACTGATAGGCGGCACTGTTAGGCTGCACTGATGCGCACTGATAGGCAGCACTGCTAGGTGGCACTGACTGGCATTGATAGGTGGCACTGATAGGCAGCACTGCTAGGTGGCACTGACTGGCATTGATAGGTGGCACTGACTGGCACTGATAGGTGACACAATGGCAGCTCAGATGGGCACTGATATGTGGCATAGATGTGCACTGGTAGGCACTGACATGTGGCATTGATGTGGTACTGATGGGCACAGGCAGGTGGCACTGATGAGCACTGACAGCTGGCACTGATGGACACTGACAGGTGGCACTGCTGGGGCTACACTGATCATCGGGGCACACTGATCATCAGTGCCCATGTCCCCTCTGAGGAATGCAGATCACCATCTCTCCTCTCGAGCTGTCAGCGTGACAGCTCATGAGGAGAGAAATGCCGATAACCGGCATTTCCCTGTTTACATGTGATCAGATGTGATTGGACACAGCTGATCACATGACCGTGATGACATCTTCAGCTCTTTTCGTTGATCGATGATCCGCTGTGTCCGAGGGACACAGCGCACCACCGATCGCCGCACTGTGCACTCCCGGAGCCGCGCATACTCGATTAGAGTGGGAGGATGTCATATGACGTCCTCCCTAAACGAGAGAACCACCTTGCGCCCGTCATTGCCTTATATGGCGGGCGGGAGGTGGTTAAAGTATAAGTTGATCTTTTGATGGAAAAAAAATAAATGCACATTTTTTGCAGGTAAAAAAAAAATGTGCATTTATTATTTTTTGTTGCAGGTCTAGTTTTCAAGTGCACTGACTAGTATTCAAGTGTTTCTCAGCAATCACCAGATCGCTGGTGCCATGCAGGTCTTCTGCAGACCTGTCTTTATATCTGCTTGCCCGTACGGTATGTACTGGCAAGCAGACATACTGACAGGAAGAATTAAGGACTTGTAGTTCATTCATTCACAGAACTCTGTAAATGAATGTTTCGGCTGTGTGGGCGGAGCCCCACACAGATGCGCTGTTTTTTAAAAATTGACAGCTTGAATGGGGAACCTCTCCCTGTACTGCTGTCACAGGGGGGGGGGGGGGATCGGGCAGCAGCTGCAGCGTTGGGAATATGTTACATGTTCCACCCTAAAAATGGGTAGAACATTTAATATGTTCCTAAAGGTGAACTTATCCTTTAAGCGGTTCTAATGGCTTAAGGTTTTTTTATTTTCATGCATTTTATGCATGAAGGTAAAAAAAACCTTCTATGTATAGTTCCCCAGCCCACCTAATACTCACCTAAGCCCCCTCTCAATCCAGCAATGTGCTGGAGTCTCGGACTAACTCTTCTCATTGGCTCCCACTGCTGTCAATCACAGACAGTGAGAAGATAGAGGAGGTTGAGCCGAGCCACGGCTCTGTGTGTGAATGGACACATGGAGCAACGGGTGCCCCCATAGCAAGCAGCTTGCTATGGGGGCACCCGATAGGAGGGAGGTGCCAGGAGAGCCTGCGGGGGACCCAAGAAGAGGAGGATCCAGATTGCTCTGTGCAAAACCACTGCACAGAGCAGGTAAGTATAACATGTTTGTTATTTTTTCTTATAAAAAAATAAACCTTTAGAATCACTTTAAGTCAAGGCTGAGAACTCTCAGCATATTTTATAACTTGATGAATGTCATTCATGCTTCACAATTTTGCTTGCTTTTAAAATTTGCTTTTGGAATGAATGGACTTCCCGATTCGTGTAATATATATTAAAAATGCAGACATGCTGCTTTTTTTCGCAGCACACTAGACGGCACCTCCGGTTATCACGCTGCTGTACAGAGAACTAAATAGAGTGTGAACTTCCAATAAAGCTAAAAAAAAGTAAACTGTGCAATGCTAGAAATCCCTCGTCACCAATGCTACACAGCACAAAGTAGCCATCAGGGCCGAATCTAGCCTGTCTGAGGTGGGAGTGCAATAAAAAATGTCAGGGGGCAGAGAATATGGGAGGGGGTCAGCAGGGCGGAGGACAGGGGTCACAACTGGCAGGGCAGAGGACAGGGGTCACAACTGGCATGGCAGAGAACAGGGGTCGCTTTTGGTAGGGCAGAGGACAGGGGTCACTGCTGGCAGGACACTCAGAGCTCCTTCTTCCATCCCTGCACTACACATGGCCTAGGCACAAGCAGCAGAGCTCCTCTTCCCCACAGTTAGCTTTGGGGGGGGGGGGGGGGGGGGGGGCACAACTAAAATTTCGGGGGGCATAGCCCAACCCAGCACCCTCCTAGGTCTGGACATGGAAGCCATATGTTAAAACAGATCGTGTTAGCATATTCTTACCCATAGTAGCTGATCAGAATTATTCTTCATGACCTATTCACACCTGTTATATTTTCGTGCATTGAGTTGCGTTTCATTAAAGTGACTCCTTTCCAAACATAAAGCTTGGTTCCTGTAATATGAGGCTCTGAAGACTTACCCCTCTGATGGGCAATAGGTCCAAACTTCTCTATCTTCTAATGGTATTACCTTTACCAAAATTAATATTTGATACTTACAGAAACGCTGAATGTCTGCGTTCCCAAATTGCGCACAGTAGTTCCTCCCATTAGTCCCTACAGCAACACTGAGTCCTGTAATGATGAAGGGGCTGGCAGGATTAATCACTGCAGACAGGGACACATGTACTCTACACTCCCGGATGTCTTAGATGCTGAAGACTCGGCTATCGTTATTGCACAATATACTGCACCTGCACTGCTTTTGGCAACATGGCACTCCACATCACACTCGGGGAATTCACATCTATGCATGTAGTGTACAATAATGAAAGTTCCTTGTATTTTACTGTTTAAGTGTGCTGGATTTTTATTCAAACCAGATAGCAACGTATAAATACACCACATTGCCATGCATTGCATTGGGGGTCTCCAGACTTTCTAAACAAAGTGTAAGTTTACTATTGTTTAGACTTTAGGGGGGTGGGATTGTAGCTATCGGTAGTAGAACTTGCCCTGGTGTCATTGGGAGTAAACAATGCATCTTTGCTATTAGGGGGAGGAATAGCACCCCATTGTTGGTGTTAGTGGGAGAAATAGTTCCCCGTTATTGGTGTCACTGGGAGGAATAGAGCCCGTTATTGGTTTCAGTAGGGGAAATAGTGCCTCATTGTTGGTGTCAGGGGGAGGGAATAGTGCACCATGGTTGGAGTAAGTAGAAGGCATAGTGCCTCATTGTTGCTGTCAGTGAATGGAATAGTGCCCAGTTGTTGGTGTCAGTGAGAGGAATAGTGCCCAGTTGTTGGTGTCAGTGAGAGGAATAGCGCCCAGTTGTTGGTGTCAGTAGGAGAAATAGTGCCTCGTTGTTGGTGTCGGGGGGGAATAGCGCCCCATGGCTGGTGTCAGTAGGAGGAATAGTGCCCATCATTGGTGTCAGAGGAAGGTGTGCCCCACGGTTGGTGTCAGTGGGAGGAATAGCTCCATCGAGTGGGAGGAATAGTGCTCCAGTGCAGTGGGAGGAATAGTGCTCCATTGTTGGTGTCAGTGGGGGAATAGTGCTCCATCATTGGTGTCAGTGGGAGGAATGTCTCCATCGTTGGTGTCAGTGGGAGGAATAGTGCTCCATCGTTGGTGTCAGTGGGAGGAATAGTGCTCCATCGTTGGTGTCAGTGGGAGGAATAGTGCTCCATCGTTGGTGTCAGTGGGAGGAATAGTGCTCCCATCGTTGGTGTCAGTGGGAGGAATAGTGCTCCATCGTTGGTGTCAGTGGGAGGAATAGTGCTCCATCGTTGGTGTCAGTGGGAGGAATAGTGCTCCATCGTTGGTGTCAATGGGAGGAATAGTGCCCCATCGTTGGTTGGGAGGAATAGTGCCCCAGTGGTGTCAATGGAGGAATAGTGCTCCATCGTTGGTGTCAGTGGGAGGAATAGTGCCCCATCGTTGGTGTCAGTGGGAGGAATAGTGCACCATCGTTGGTGTCAGTGCTCCATCGTTGGTGTCAATGGGAGGAATAGTCCCCATCGTTGGTGTCAATGGGAGGAATAGGCCCCCATCGTTGGTGTCAGTGGGAGGAATAGTGCCCCATCGTTGGTGTCAGTGGGAGGAATAGTGCCCATTATTGATTTCAGTATCAAGAATTATGCACCCTTGTTGGTGTCAGTGGGGGGAATAGTGTCTTGTATCAATGGGAAGAAAAACGCCCCAAGGGCAGGATAAAGACAAGCAAAGGTTCGCAGTTTGGAGACCACTGCATTAAGACATATATATACCTTCGATTGTACGCCCCTTGAGGGTTAGGGACTGATGTGAATGTACAATATATATGTAAAATGCTGCGTAAATTGACGGCTCTATATAAGTACCTGAAATAAATAAATAATTTTAGCACACATTACTATAGTGTATAAATATGAATCCAGTCTTGGTGATCTGACTTTAATAAAAAAAAAAAAAATGAATGGGTTGGTGTGTGATGCTGCACATTGACCATCATTATTGCTCCCTGCACTATTATAGAAGCAGATTTATGGCTGAGCAATTCTCCAACACATTCATTTACTGATTGTATAAACGGCAGCTGATAATAATGGGGCTGCCTTTGTAATCCTGTAGGCGCAGGTGGAAGGGCAGAGCACAGTGCTACCCTGTCTGCTGGGATCCTACAATCCTCTTTATCTCCCTGATGTCTAATCTATATAGATGGATCATGTGACATCTTTTACCTACCCTTGGATAAGAAGGCTTACATACTTATCATCTAAAACGGGGGTCTCCAAACTTTTCAAACAAAGGGCCAGTATACGGTCCCCCAGACTTTAGGAGGGCTGGATTAGGGCCAGTGAGAATAGAAAATGTCCTTGTCCCAGCATCAGTGAGAATAAACATGGACTCAGGGTTGAGGGCCAATAGGAGGAGTAGTGCCCCATCATTGGTATTAGTGGGAAGAATAGTACACCATCATTGGTTTCAATGGAAGAAGTGCTGCTCCATTGTTGGCCTCATGGCAGGAATAGTGCCCCAAGTGCCAGGTAAAGGGTAGCAAAGGGCCAACTCTGGCCCTTGGGCCACAGTTTGGAGACCCCTGATCTACAATAAAATTTAAATGTTGCTTTGTTATCTAGTTGTTTGTACATCAGTGGTTTTAAGATCCTATACATTGGGGGTCTTGGTGGATCTTACCACCAACTTATAAGTGTGCCCATGGCAATACTCTGCCCACTCACTTTGCAGAGGGCAGGCAATAGTCTCTTCTATTTTTTCCCAAGCATGCCAAAGTATCCCAGGTTTAGGCAGACTCCGCCCCTTGCTGGCTTCCAAGAGGGCAGAATCTGGTCTAAGCATGGAGGAACATGTTGTAATGAGTGGATTAGCAAGTGTTGTACCGAGCAGGTTATGCTGGGTCGATGTTAGGCTTCAGAAGTGCATGTTCACACTTTTATTACTGCATGAAAATGTATTTCGAAATTTTGGGGGAAACCTTTCTGTCATTTGCAAAATTGCAGCAACTTGTATGCTGGGACCTGCTTGGT